GACTCGGAATTGACTCGTACTCGAACATATTGGGAGTCGGGACTCGGACTTATTCCCGAGTCCACTCGAGTCCCATTCAAAATATGAAACGTCCAATGATTGCGGACTTTCTTGTGCGCAACTGCGCATGACTTGAGACTATAACGTTCGCGGCACACAAATGCAGCAAGACCCAGGTCAGATGTGATCCTCTAGCTCAAATATGTATCTAAAATGTCTGCCTTATCATCCATAATTCAGTTTACATATTAGAGCCACATAGAATTCGTGTGCAGTAATGTTCTGTGAAAGAGCACTTACTGATTCAAAAAATTGTAAGTAATAATCATAATAAAATTCCCTACACCACTATGTGGCCTTTTTACCATTACAGTGTACATGATTCCATGGTATATTTGGTTTACTGTTTGAGTATGGTGCCAATTTTATTGTTACCACCAAATATTTTACATATTCTTGAAGATATCTTTAAGTCTGGTTTGAGAACCAACCTTAGGTTATCCAACCTCTCTGGTCTCGGTCTCGACTTGGACTCGACTCTCTTTGGTCTCGGTCTGGACACGGATTCGACTCTCTTTGGTCTCGGTCTGGACTCGGATTCGACTCTCTTTGGTCTCGGTCCGGACTCGGATTCGACTCTCTTTGGTCTCGGTCTGGACTCGGATTCGACTCTCTTTGGTCTTGGTCCGGACTCGGATTCGACTCTCTTTGGTCTTGGTCTGGACTCGGATTCGACTCTCTTTGGTCTCGGTCTGGACTCGGATTCGACTCTCTTTGGTCTCGGTCTGGACTCGGATTCGACTCTCTTTGGTCTCGGTCTGGACTCGGACTCGACTCTCTTTGGTCTCGGTCTGGACTCGGACTCGACACTCTTTGGTCTCGGTCTGGACTCGAATTTGACTCTCTTTGGTCTCGGTCTGGACTCTGATTCGACTCTCTTTGGTCTCGGTCTCGACTCGGATTCGACTCTCTTTGGTCTCGGTCTGGACTCGGATTCGACTCTCTTTGGTCTCGGTCTCGACTCTGACTCGACTCTCTTTGGTCTCGGTCTGGACTCGAATTTGACTCTCTTTGGTCTCGGTCTCGACTCGGACTCGACTCTCTTTGGTCTCGGTCTGGACTCGGATTCGACTCTCTTTGGTCTCGGTCTCGACTCTGACTCGACTCTCTTTGGTCTCGACTCTGACTCGACTCTCTTTGGTCTCGGTCTCGGACTCGACTCTCTTTGGTCTCGGTCTGGACTCGGATTCGACTCTCTTTGGTCTCGGTCTGGACTCGGATTCGACTCTCTTTGGTCTCGGTCTCGACTCTGATTCGACTCTCTTTGGTCTCGGTCTCGACTCTGACTCGACTCTCTTTGGTCTCGGTCTCGACTCTGACTCGACTCTCTTTGGTCTCGCTCTCGACTCTGACTCTCTTTGGTCTCGCTCTCGACTCTGACTCGACTCTCTTTGGTCTCGGTCTGGACTCGGACTCGACTCTCTTTGGTCTCGGTCGGGACTCCGACTTGACTCTCTTTGGTCTCGGTCTCGACTCGGACTCGAGTGAGCTGGTCTCGACTACAACACTGGAAACTGCATTACTGTTCGGAGGAGGATGTCTGGTGTTCGGGAACACGCAATCGCTTGGTAGTTCTGGGAGAGAACTAAATCACCAAATCCAACACCAAATCCTTCTGATGACAGCATTTCAGATGACTAAAACAACATTTCAGAAAACCAAAACAATATTTCAGATGGTGTTGTGCAATGAGATTGGTCCAGTTATCCAATCACATGCTCTGCTGAGGCAAAGTCACATGAGATTTTGTTGCGATGAGGGATTTAGCCAGTAAATGTGTTTCCATCGTAGATTATGCGAATTATTTCTTATTGAATACAAAAAATGCACATTTTATGATTTGATGCACATCTTGGTGTTTACATCCAGTGTTAGATATGCGATACCTCACAATTTTCATGTGTAAGGAATGGTTTGGTTTGCTGGTTCAGGACAGGGGAGGGTGGTGACCTCCAACAGGGATCAAATATCAGTCAAACTCACTGACTGAATACACTTTAAACATCATGCATAATAAACACAAATCAACAGAAAACAAGTCAATATATCTGTTCCTTTGGTAACACTTTACAATACGGGTGCACTAATATGCATTAATTCATGCTAATGTATAACTCATGAAGAACTAAACCATTAATTAATGATTACTGCATCAGCAACTAATAAAGAGTCTATATGATAAATAAATTAAGTAATACATGAATTGCTATTAATTCAATGTGTCATTGTGTAATTTCTGAATAACATATTTTATTAACTAATAGTGTAAATGAATGTGTTAATTACTACAATTAGTCAAAGCTATGCACTTCAACTTCCAGTTGTCTGCTTTAATTAATCATTAGCTAATGATTTGCAAAGGTATCATTATGTTATGACTTTACTTGTTGGGGCACATCATTATGAACTAGTCATTTAGTCATTTGCACATGAATTTGCACTAACAATGAAGTAATTAATCATGTATTAATACATACTAGTGTACCTGTCATATTATCTGGAAGTTGAAATACAAGGCTTTGGCTCATTCTGGTAATTAACATATTAATTAACACTATTAGTTAAAAAAATGAGTTATTATGGAATTAATCCACAATTACATATTTCATTAATAACAATTCATGTATGAACTAATACATTAACCTTATATACTCTTAATTAGGTCCTAATGTGATAATCATTAATGAATAGCTTAAATAATTATTAGTTACACGATAATTCAGTATTATCTGTGCATTAGTTAAGCATGTGCACCCATATTGTAAAGTGCTACCGTTCCTTTTACATCAGTCAAGTCCTTCATTTATACAGCGCTTCTAACAATATGATAGTTTTACAGCAGCTTTACAGAGATAATTTACTTCCATCGCAAAGATCATTAGTTATTAACTTAATAACATTAGTTATTATCTAATTTTAATGTGTTTTGGCCGTTCATTTGCACAACAGAATTTGGTGGCTCGTCCCACTTCGGTTTTTAGACTTTATCTTCACCACTAATTACTTCACTGAATTAAAAACTCTGAAACTGATGATCCTGAAGTCTCTATGACATTTAGCATTTATCATGAGTGTGTAAAGAGAGGCTCACTCACGCATATCCGAGGCTCAGAGAAGACCAGCGATGTCCAGCCAAACACCAGCAGGGCCGTCCGCGAGTGTGTGTGTGTCGGCTGGGCTCGGGACGGCCCCTGAATAAGTAATGCTGTCTGCTGATCAGAGCAGATCGAGTTATCCGAGGTCTCCGATGTCACGCTCAAAACATCACCTCCCTCACAGACGCAGTTTAACGGACAGCCTTTTAGAGCCGCCATTAAAGTGAATTTAGAAGTTTCTCATCCACACTGAAACGTCGGAAAACGCCTGAAAACGCTAGTGTGGACGGAGAGCGTTTTTAAACGAAAACCCCGTTTTTAAATCTATCCGGATTAATGTGGACGTAGCCTGAGACGCACCCGATGTAAATCTGTGGTATAAACTGGAACTGCAGCGCTCTAATCTAACTGAGAGACATTAGGGCTGATTTCACACTCCAGACCTCTGCCAAAAGGGTGTTCAGCGTTTACTGTATAAAGCTTACACAATCTCTATCATACACTAATACCTAAGCTCACGCACAGGAGTGAACACTACTGGTGTTACCGCAAAACATACATTACATTTCATCAAAAGCACAGAAGAGCATATTTCTCTTCACAAGTTAAATAACATTACAATAAACTGTGCACAAAAAAAATGTTTTTTTTTGGATTGCTAAAGGACAGTGACACATGTGAAACTGTAACTCCAGCCGTTCATGAGGGCCAAACTCTAGTTGTGTTTCAGGGCTTAAACACACTTTTCAAAACTCTACACACTCATCCCATGACTTTACCTGCACAACACTGTGGATTTACAGCACTTTGTTCAAACGCGAACACACAGCCGTCAAAACCGTGAACACACACTCAGAACAGAGCAGATTTCAGTCACACACTCCTGAGTGCGCTTCAGCCGGGCGTCCGACACCTGTGCCTGATGTGGAGAGAGAGGAGATCCACACCTCAATTATTCGCTCAAATTACAGTGTCTACTTCTAGATTCCACCTTTCTTTCTCATTACTGTAATTCTGTAATTCTGAAACAAATGACTAATTTTCATTTACCTTGAATAGTTATGATGTTCTAAAAATGTAAATAAATCATGTGAAAGAATATCTCGCTAAAAAGTCACAATTATCTTTTAAAAACTTGAATATTATGTATCCATATTACTGGAGCACGTTTCACAAGAAACTACTATCTCAGCCTCTCTTGAACATTTCACTCTTATTTCAATGTGTTTCATGATGTTTCTTGGTCATCATTTCTGAGGGAAAATTGTTTCCCTCCACAGAGTTCAGCTCCAGCCCTGAGCACACACACACACACACACACCTGAAGCAGCTCATGAAGATCTGCAGGAGCACCTCATTACACATGTGTGTGTGTGTGTGTGTGTGTGTTCTATATTTCAGAGTTAAAGCGCATCTTCAATGAGATGTATGTAGGCCGAGACGGAGGTTCTCCATGGGGATTGACTGGAAGATGAGAAGTGTGTGTTGCGTTGAGAGCTGGATGTGTGCTGACACACACTCTTTCTGATCGGCGTCTCCTGATGGGAACGCTTCACCTCAAATCCAGCATTATACTCGCTAACCCTGAGAACAATAACGTTAATAGTGTTAAATTACTGCATTGACTATTTCCAGGATTTTAGAAGGAGAGCCTCACCAACGTCAAGCTGAAAACAGCAGCTACTCGTCCATTGCTTAACGTGAACCACAACTCACACGGCCAAGGTGACATTACTGGAAAAGTCATTTTAACAAATGATTGAAACACACATGTTGAATATAAATTCAGTTTCTGCTGTTAGCGTATAACATGTTCATGATTCACCATAGACAACTCACACTTACCTTTTGAAAAATGTGCTGTTGGGCTGCAGACACAAAACCTGCCAGTAATCCAAACACAGAGCTTTAAAGCGGGACATGTTCAGGGCTGGATCGTCAGTCACATGGCAAAATGATCAAGCTTGAGTCCCGCCGAGAGATGCCAGAACATCACGTTACACACTGACTGCGGTCTCGGACCAAACATGGAGAACCCAACGCATCCTCGAGCTCAAACACACACACACACACACCGAGAGGTTCTGCTGGGGAATCAGGTCAGATGCAGATCCACCCTCACCGCACCAGTGTCTTCTTCACGATACTCAGGTGCTCTCGCTGCAGGGTTTTCCTCCGCCGTGCCTTTCCCCGCCGCATCCGTGAGCAGATCTGCAGCTCCACACGCTGAACGCCGGTTGCCTGGCAACAACATCACTACTCCACTCGCTGGTGGAGGGAGGGATCCCTCGTCCTCAGCGCTATGATGTCATGTACAGAAACCACGCTGTATTCTACCTCCATTAGACCCTCAGCTCAAGTAACCCTCAAAAAGGTCATTATTCAGATCACGGGACCCGGGGCCTCATAACGACACAGGCCCCGACACTAAAGTCCCGATTTATAAAAACAAAACTGACAGGTAAATCTGCGCAAACACAAACTCTGACGCATGCGTAAGAACATCGAGGAGACGGAGCCGTTGGGCAGATGAAAGAAAATAAATGATAAAATAGAAATACATCAATTGAATTACCTCAACTTCCATTTTCTAATGAGCTCAGGGTGGGTGGAGGGTTAACCCTAGATTAGCTGCCTCATTTTAGTAAGCATGGCCATTCATCAGGTGATCTGCATTGACTAATTATGGTTGAATGTGTGTGTGTGTATGCATGATTTTAAAAAGTCGGGCTGAACTGTGCGGTTCACACTACATGACTTGCTCTCTGTGAAATCAGGAGTGTTCAAGTTGTTGAGCTGTTCTCACACACGACACAACGTGATTGATCCGCAACAGGAGGTAACGCACTACACGAGTTGACAACGCACTACATAGAGATACAACCACGATCGGATGATAACAGCAAATCATTTGTGACTCTAATGAGAGCTGTTTCAGTACTATGGTACGGTCTGAATCATGAAAATAATCAAATAAATAACGAGTTGTCACCCAACGATTCTATCTTGTCTACAAACCACGCTTTTTCATAAAAAACGTGTAAAACCAGCAATAAAACGAACCAGAAATGACGCGAAACAGCACTGCGAAGAGAACACATCACGTGAATATGGACGTCAGACAGAAACACTGTTGCTGCACACTGCGCAACGATCTGCTGTGAGAAAAATTAAAAAAAAATAAATAAAAACTAAGATTTACCTGGTATCCTCAACCCATGTGTTGCTAAGATTGGCTGTACTCATGACATCACTGAGGTCGAGTCGCGCGACGGCTCTGGATACCTAGCAGGCTAGATATTTTTCTGGGCTCGGCGACGCGTTTGCGATGCGTTGTTGGCTCTTTCATACTGGCAAGCATTGAAATTGGTTCCTAAAATGCTAGCCTGCCATACAACAACTTGCATAAAGATCCATCCCTCCAAGTCATAGTGTGTATAAAGTTAGAAGTCAAAGGTTCCTGGACAGCATGCCATTGCTGTTCAATTCATGAAGCATGCATCAGCACATAACATACTTTTCATTCATAGAAATATGTGAACTGGAATGGAGCCAAAATCTTGATGTAATGGTCTGTGTCGTCCACTAGAGGCGATAGAAGGTATTTTCACAGGTAAGTCAGTTAACCCTGGGTCATTCATTCCACACCCTGGGTAACACAATCCTGGGGTATAGTGTTTCACGCGTCACACAGCTCATGCTTCACATGGTGCATTCCTAAACCCTGGATTAGTTATTGAGCAAACACATCAAGTGACATAAACTTACACAAAGGCATTGCGCATCCTCATAATAACTTTTCCTGAATGGATTTTTGGGACTATAAAAGGTAAAAATAAAACAAACTCATCCTCACTTCAGTTGACATGTTTTCAGACCCCATTTGACATTTTCCCCCTCAAACTCTGAAAATACTGTTTATACTGTACAACTCATGGTGTTTCAGTGTTGGTCCAAAGTATGTGGCACATGCTGAAAAATACAGCAGAAACTGGCTGGTTCAGGCTGGTTAGATCTGGTCTAGAGCTGGACCAGTCTAGTCATGTCCTCAATCAAAACTGATCTGGTATAAGGGGTCCACAGGCACTCCTGCAAACCAGCGTCCCACACAGCTCCCAGCAAGCAACACATATCATATCTTTTTTAAATGTGCATCCAGTGGACATCTCCAGAGAGGAGCCGTCAGATCCACAAACTGATGTTGTGCTGTAGGTCAGATGACACAGCTAGGCCATGTAGTCAGAAGTAATTGAAATATAACGTTTTTATAACTCAATAGGAATGTTATCAACATATTCCTAGAACATATATTTGTCAGCAGGGGCTGCAGTGTTTTAGTGGTTTACTATTCATCTGTCCTGCACATCTTTGGATTGGACGGACCCTCGATATCCACTTTCCTACACAGTTTAGCTTCAACCCTGATCAAACTCACCTTCTAGTAATCCTGAAGAGCTTTATTAGCTTGTACAGGTGTGTATTATTCAGGTTGCAGCTCTGTGGATCTCACGGGCCAGAGTCGCCCAGCCCTTTTCTAGATGCTTTACCTTGCTGAAAAATACAGTATTGCTTGAATACATGAAGATAAACACTATCTTGACTCCATATGCAATGCCAGTGATAAGTAATATGATGTTCATTAAATAAACAAATATAAAATTCACTGAACAAAAATGCAAAACTTTTGTTTTTGCCCTCATTTTTCATGAGCTGAACTTTAAGTTCTACGACACTTCTATGTACACAAACGGCCTATTTCTGTCAAATATTGTTCATAAATCTGTCTAAATTTGTGTTAGTGAGCACTTCTCCTTTGCCGAGATCATCATCCACCTCACAGGTCAGGTGTGGCGTATCAAGATGCGGATCAGACAGCATGATTATTGCACAGGTGTGCCTTAGGCTGTCCACAATAAAAGGACACTCTAAGGCCCTGTTTACACGAGAACGCTCGCGGGTGAAAACGTAAAAATATTTTATCGGATGTGCCTTTCGTTTACACGCCGACGGCGTTTTTGAGGCTTAAAAACGCAAAAAAGTGAAACCACCCTCCAGAGTGGAAATCTTAAAAACGCTCCACCGCCGCGTTCCCGTGTAAACGGTAAAAACGCAAAGCCTGTTTGACAGTGAAGGTTGTACGCAGGCGAGTGGGCTTTGGTGTTGTTGTAGTATGCACTCCTAGCCGCCTGAAGTGCATACTACATTGAATTTAAACCAGTCAGTATCTGGTGTGACCACCACTTGCCTCACGCATAGAGTTGATCAGGGATGGGTGCAAAAGTGTTGCGTTTATAATTTTGTTCAGTGTAGATAAGATTAACTGGTTCCACACAACACAAGTAGTTAAGTAATCAACTTAAAGGGGTGATGAACTGAGAAATCTAATTTTCCTTGAGCTTTTGACATCTAAGAGGTCATCATATTATAAGAATATCCTGCAAGTTTCAGAACTGAAAACGTCCTTGTTAGTCCAATAAAAGCTTTTATTGACACCAGCCTCAGCAAACGACTCGCTTTTCAAAGTGGGGAACTATGACGTCAAAGAGGATAAAACCCCACCCCCACAGAAGAAGATCAACGCCTGCTTCACCACGGCCGGTTTAGCCCCGCCCACCGATTTGCGCATTACACGCATAGCTAAATAACATAGATGCCTACCTCGTGATGACAATATGGATCGAGCAACCGAGCGATTGAGAATATTGTGGGAATACTCTGGGTCGAACATGTATGGGCCAATCATTCCGGTTAACATTTTACAACATTGGACGTTTTCAAAACAATTTCCCCCAAGAGCATTGACGGGTGAGTCGAAACTCATTATAATATGCAAAAAACTGTTATCCACTCACAGCAGTGGGCGTTTACTTCTAAGTCTTCAGTGCGAGACGCACATAAAAACCGAGCGTTTTTCAGCTAGGCTCAAAACTAGGGTAGAAAATAGCCAATTACTGATTCAATTAATTGCATTAGAAGTCATCACATTTTGGGTTTTGTTTCTTGCTGTTGTCATGTTCCTGTGTATTGTCATTGGTTAATCGTCTGATTACAGGTGTTCCTTGTCTTCTTATTAGTCTGTGTATTTAAGCCCTCATGTATGCACTGTGTTTGGCGAGTATTGAATGTCTATGTTCTTGTTTTGAGTCCCATGCCTTTGTTTGATGACGTTTTGGATAAAATTGAATTTGGGTTCTCGCTACTACTTGCCTCCATTGGACTTCATTTGTTACAGTTGTCATAACTCCAACAAAATGTTTTGTAAGGTTTTGAAATTTTTTAATATTAGAGTTTAAGAGTGTATTTCTAAAAACACAGTAAGCAGTCCAGATAGTGCAGAATGAACACAGTCCTTATTAAATTACTCAAGAGTAACTAGAAAATTTACAAATAAAGAGGGGAAAAAAAAACAATTGCACAGATGTAAAAGAAAAATCATTTACAAGAGGGTCAAAAACAAACCTTTTAATTTGAATCCCGTTACATGTTCAAAACAATAAGCTACTGATATCAGGCAACGCAAATACAGTTGTGATACAGTAATGGATATTTAGGTAGATATTCCCTTCTATTGTCATGGATCACTCTTTTTCACTCAGTTCTGTATCTTTGTATTAGAGGTACATGTTTGTGGTTAAACACTCATTAAACTGCATGATTTTGTTCTAGCACTATGGTTGTGTTCTTCCAGTGTTCATGGACTGAACTACTGCCGGAAGATTCCCATCTGTCCTACACAGTGATGTTTATTCCCCAGAGGAACACTGTTCCTGCAGGAGACGGACGGACGGACGGACGGACCGAGGAAGAACGCTTTGTGAGAGAGGACAGATCCTTGGCTGGACTGGAGATGTTATTCCTGCTATCTTGAAGGACTGCTGCTTCCAGATTGAGGACAGCAGAACTGATGCAGCACATTATGGTTCCTGTGAGAGAAGCACACTATAAGAACAGCACACACACACACACACACACACACACACACACATACTCTAGGCCAGCCGTTCTCAGCCAGTGGTGCTTCACGGCCCACATTTTACCTGATCGTAGGTAAACAATAATATAAACATTTGTTGAAATCATTTTCTTACAAAATTGATCATAACTTGATGATGGCCGTTATAAAAAGTAAAAAAATTTTTCATTTTTCTTTTATGCATGATACCAGGCGATTAGTACATTGATTTACACGCAGTGCCAGAGGAGGCTGAGAGCATAACG